TCCATAAAACGGGGTTGTGACTCAATATTGCATCACCTTTCCAAGCAGGGCTTCAGTGTGTTTCGGCCTGGGAGCCTGGCGGCTCGTTTGCCCCCTGGATGCGATGATGATGATGGTTCTCGTTTCCCCTCAGGTTATTATTTCCATGATTAAATGCACTTCCACGTTTTTAAACCTGCAATGCTTAATGTTTCTTGGTCATCGTGACCCGGGGGCTGATTCCAGTTGTTCATAGGAGCTGCTGAATAGGGTATAAAATCCGGAACTGAATGCCACTGAACTTCTATTTATATTTTTAATTTCCATCAAAATAAATGGAGTTTAAGAACTGCTTAATCAGCTGCTTAATCACTTGCTGATAGAGGCCTCTTAAAAACAAGAAACTTTCAGCAGCAGTAAAACCCCACCATATCAGTGTTCCTAAAATGTGGCTCTGCAGTGGCAGCTTTGGTGTTTCTTGAAAACATTTGCTAATTCTAACATTTCTCTCTGAAAAAGCCGGTGAATGTGCACATGTGCAGAGGTTTTATAAGATGGGAACTTTATATCCTAAATTGTGGACTGATTTTTTTTTTTTTTTTTTTTGTGAAATGTTAGCGCTGATACAAAACCGCAGCATTTGGGAGAGACCTGTACTTTGGCATTTAGCACAGCTTATAATTATTTGAGTGTTCACAAGCTCTAAACGCATCGGTTATGAAATCTCAATAACTCGAGGAGCCTGCCGCTTAAAGATCTCGTAAGATGAAAAATCTGCCTTTCAAAAGTGTAAATATGATTAAATGGTTTTCAAGAAGTATTTTTAATATTAGTAAAAATGCAGTTGACTGGAGTGCTGAATAACTTCTTACTTTGTATTAAGCTGTCATAGGGAACATACTTTTTCCTTTTTCTTTCCCTGCCCCCTCCTCTTGGTTTGGTGCTTCATCCACCTGCATTTGAAAAAACTCCTACCTGTAGTTCCAAAGATTCTGTTAAAAAAATGTTTCCCAAAAATCTTCCCTGCCCCTTCATGGCATGCATTTGAGGCTCATTGTCAGTCGTTCTTTGAAAAGCAAATTAATAAATCGTACAGTGTATTTTAATAGACACAGTTGTGCTGTAACTGCAGCAGAAGCTCTAGGAGTCTTGCTGCACTGAATCTGCACATAGGTGGTGTCATTTTTAAATGAATCCTAAACCAGCTTTGCTGAATCCCTGCACTGTGGTGCTTCAAATAAATGTGAAGTTTTGTTTTATTGATTGGAAAAAAGCTTTATCATTTTTCACTGGGATAAAAATTCTGGTTCTTAATTAAAGAAAAAAATCAGATGTATCTGTTTAATTACAAATACCAGGTAATCCTTCTGAAAATGGGCTTCAACAGGGTTGTGTTCAGTGAAGCAAAATTCCTAATGGGTGTTTAGGTTGTAGTATTGGAATGCAAGTAACGGTTTTTACTGAAATGTTATGGTTTTAATGCATTTAGGCTGTACCAAAGGGTAGTGCAATTTTTTGGAAGTCACTTTTCAGTTTCAATTCCTTTTGAAACATTCCATTTTAGCAGAGAATCAGAATGAACTGAAACAAAAAATTGGTGTTTAATGCTAACTATTTCTGAAACTTCTTCAAAGCAGAATTTCTTTGGAGGGTTTTTTTTCCTTAAAAAAAAAAAAAATCCAAAGCATTTTTTTTTCTGAATCTGATGGTAAAAGAGTAGCCGGTCGCTTTGTTTTTCAAGTACACTTTGTTGAAAGGACAGAGTACACAAGAACAGCACTTCTCTTCCTAGCAGTGCATCCTTATTGCTGATTAACTGCAAAATTCATCAATAACGGTGATAGCAAGGAGTGAAATGTATTTCAGTGTTTATTTGGTGAATGACCTTTTTTTAATTTTAATTAATTTTAAATTTTTCTTTTATTTTTTTAAACTGAAGTCCTGAAGCAGCTCACCCAGACCTACATTTTAAGCCTTTCAGAAGGGACAGCAGGTTGTGTGTTTGGGGTTGGTTTTTTGTGTGTGTGTTTTGTTTTGGCAGATAGAGACTACAAAGCGCAGAGGAGCGAAGGTCTGTTGTGTGTTGAGGTCCTTTTATTTTCTTATCCTTTCATATTCTTTATTTGAAAGACAATGGGCTTGATTCTGAAAAGGAAAATGCAAGGAGTTGGGTTTAGATTCTTCTGCAAACAGGGTTATCTTCCAGCATCTTCTCTTCTTAACTCGGATGTGTAAATACGCCTGTGGTTTGCATCTAGACTCCTGAAACTACAGCAGTCTTTTGAAGGTGAATCTTAAAGTCATTGCGAAGGGGCGCAGCATTATGATGCAAATCTGTTCCTTCTGCCTGCCTACCTGCCTCTGGCTTGAGGGTCATCCTTGAAAATTTACACTCAAGTCCTCCTTTGAGAAGAACAGGGTTCGTGAGTTGAACTTCACTCAGTTTGCGGGGGGGCACCCTTCACTTGTTTGTAATTAAATCAAATGAAAAGTGATTTTTAAGGCTTCTAGATCTAAAATGATGTCTACGCTTTGGGTGTTAGGTGGCGTATATGCCAGCTGGTTGATTAAATGATTGAATTGTGTCAAAAGAGTACAAGCAACCAGTACTGTCCCACTGAAATGGGATTTCAAGAATTTTATTCCCAGTACTGTGGATTCATGATTTTCTAGATGTTACTCTGCTTCATTTTACTCATTATTTAATTTTTTTTTTTCACTATTAAAGTCTCTGCGAATGTGCAAAACATTGCAGACTTCTAGAAACCAAGGTCCTTGCATTCAGGATCTTACAGTTCTTCAAAATAGCTTTACTAAAATGAATCTCATGGACTTAATTCTTAGTCATGCTCACAAAAGGAAAAAAAAAAACCCCGACTACTTTTAGGGAAAAAAATGTTGAAATACTGTGTTGATGCACCAGGATCTCTTCAAGCCGCCTGAATTTGGTTTTGATGTCTTTTGTTCTGTTGTTTAGCGCTAATTGGGCACTGACTTAGTTCAGTTTTCAGAAAAAAATGGAGGCATTTGAGCAACCGTTCTGTTAATCATTCATCTCTCATCATTTAAATATTCATTTCATAATCATGCAGGAGTTTTAAAAGTAAACTATTAACTTGCAATAGCTTTTCCGGGCTTCCAAGTGTCATTTAAAAAAAAAAAAAAAAAACAGAGAGAAACCTCAAAATGTTACTCAGGTTTAAAACTGACTCGTACCGATCAGCGAGTCATTAGGAGAACTGTTACCACGAATAAAGTCAGCTTCGCAAGGGACGGGCTTGCAAAACTGGAAATCATTTGTAAAAGTTGACATACTCTTGTGTAAAATGTGTAATAGATGTGCCTTAGTCCCTGCTTTTTTCTCTTGTCTCTGAAGTTTTACCAGTCCAGGCACAGAATTTGCTCACCCGTTTGTATCACCGTGATGGTGAATCATGAGAGAAGCAATCTCTTTAAATATGTTTGAAAAAATTACTCGCCCCTGGCTACTGAAGGAAATAGGTTTAATGGAGGAGAATGAGCTACTTTGTTTCTTCGGTCTGTGCATTTTCAAAAATTCTGCAGATTAGAAAAGTGTGATTTTTTCCCTTGGGCTTTAGCCTGGAAAAGGGAATAGTGTGTCAAACCAGGAGACTGGGGAAAACCCTTTGAGGGACCTGGCCCTCCCGCAGCCGGCGGGAGAGGAGGTGATCGGTTTGTAGAGCTGTCTGGGTGTTTCTTGGTGTCTGCAGCGCGTTTTGCTAAAGCCTCCCTGAAGCAGTAGTGTAAAAATGAAAACCAAAGCGTTGAAATTTAGGTGACGTGTTGTAATGTAGACGACCGTATTAATTCCTTGAAAAATTTAAAATCTCCATTCTCTTTGAAATTGAAGTGGTGTTTGTCAGTAATGGGAACTCTCCCGTGGCCGGAGTTAGGAGCGGTGGTCCATGGGTGTGGATTGAGCCTTGGGACCATGCGTGTGCTCCCACCACGCCAGCCCGGCTGCGAGTGGTAGTCTCTTCAGTATAGTATTTAAGTTTGGGTTTGGTTTTTTTTTTTAAGCGTCGTGACAATTATTAAAGCTCCTCAGACCTCCTGCTGATTTTGTGGAGATTTAAAGAAAAATTACCTAGGTTGGTTTTGATTAAAGCCTGGACGGGCTGTGGTGTTTGCAGAATGGACGTTGGAGGCTGCTGTGAGTCTGTCCGGCGCTAACACCTTTACGCCCGAGAGGTAGGAGAGGGTTCTTAGTTCCAAAAACGTATCCGTGATCTTTATAACTTAATGTAAGAACAAGGTGTTTAGTAACGTATTGTAGCTTTTGTGCAAGTCATCTGCCATAAACCATGGCATGATTCAGAACAGGGTTCATAGTTCCTTCTTTGTTCCTTTGTTAATCACTGACTTGTGGGAGGCGCCTGCAGAATTTGCTAATGCATTCTTTTTGGGTAAGGATGACGCACAGATTGTCCTAATAAGGACTTAGTTTGAGAAAGGGGCCGTCTTCTTTGAGAAGATAGGGGCAAGTCATAGGGCGAGCAGTTTCTTTTTTAACTGAGGGATGACACAAGCACAAGTCATTTCCTTATTAATCGGTTCAAACCAGTTCTTACAGGAACTGCTGGTGATAAATGTGGGACTTCTCAGAAGTCATTCATTTTATTCTCAGCACTGCACCAGTGCACAGCCTCAGCTGGCTTCTCCCTGGCTTTAAGGAAACGCTCCAGCTCACAGCTTCTTTCTGTGCTACCAGCAGTGTATTGTCACTGGCTTGCTCGGAAAGACTTTTTTCTTTTTAAGCACTTTTGGAGGATCTGGGGAAAACCGTCCCTTTCAGAAGTATCTGCTCAAAAGCTGAAATGCCCTTTATTTCGTGGTTATCTGCTTTCTCAAGTAGCAATGCCCTTCTGAGCTGTAGCTCAGTCTGAACTTTGTTCTGTTTGGGTCAAAGTGGTAAGTTTAAAAAAAAAAAAATGTTTTTTGTTTTTCTTTTTTTTTCCTCCCCTGTTTTGTCTTGTTCTCTGGGATGAACTTTGCATCAGTGCTATTCCAAGTATAGGTACTTCTCTTCAGAAGCCATTTCAAGAATATTTGGAAGCTCAGAGGATAAAACTTCACCACAAGCCTGACAGTGGCGTGCCACAGGTAAGAACCTCTCTGCCTCCCTCCCCAGTTAATTTTTTGCCTTCTCTAGTTGTCATTTGGCTTGTCAGGTTTACCGATGTAACTCTTGATTCTGTTTGTCAAAGATTTGCAGTGGCCCAGGGAAAAGATAAAAATCTCATTTTAAAAGCAGCCTGGGAATTAAAAATAATACTGTAATTGTATGCAACTGGACTTAAAGCTCTTGGAGAATAAAGAAAACAATGAAGTAAGACCAGGGGCACATCTTGCCGCTACGTTAGCGTGCCTATTTTGAAAGAAATTTAAGCAGAAAAAGGTTGCATTTCCACGTGAAATGGTAACAGACTGTGTGCAGCATCAAAACTTGAGAAGCCGGTAGGATCTGTGGCTTAACGGCCAATAAGAAACAAAATCCCCAAGCCTTTACTGTTCAAAAGGAAAAGAAAAATACGGTGTTGAGAGCCGGTACAAAGCGGCAGAAGTGTCCCCCCATGGAAGAAAAAAAAAAAGTATTTTAATAAAACATACCCTGAATTTTCAGTGGGGACAGAGCAACTTTGACGTGCGATTCCATAGGAATCTATGGCATTTTTAGATAAAATCCATTAATCTAACCCACTTTTCACGTTTAATCCTTGTAGCTCTTATAAAATGTTTCTTTGCCCATTTTTTACCAAAAAGGAGACTAAATTAGGGAGGCTTGGGCTGGAATAACTAAATATGCAGATTCCTTTTATGCACATTGAAGTAATTTTTGTGCAGTGCATTGCTGCCCTCCTTTGACAAAAAAAATACAAGTTAGGGGCCGCTGTGGAAGACGCTCAAAGTGGGACTGCCGAGGCCGTGGTGTTAACTTCTGGTGACACCAGGAGAATCGGGTACTAATTGGAAGATAACACAGTATATGCAGTTTAGGAAAAAACCATTGTTAACCAATGACCTTATTGTTTTCGTTGCAATGATCATGACAGGGAATGACAGTCAGGGCTTGCTAATTCTGAACTCAGGGAATTGTTAGCAAAGACAAAACAATGTTAGGAATAATAAATCGCTTTGCTGGCACGCGGGTAATGATCAGGGATTCATCATCTGCCCCGCAGTGTATTTGGCAAGGCCTCCTGCATTGTTTTTTCAAAGGACTAAAGTCAGCTTTACAGGGAGACCTGCAGGAATCCTGTCAGCTTGCACTTGGTTCCTGTTTTTAATTTGATAAATTACATAATAATAATAAATAAATAAATAAAAAGGTTAGGCTTTTCCCTTTCACCCAGAAAATGGAGAATTCTCCACTGTGCTGTCCACTAATCTGAATTTTCCTCCTCCTTCTGTTTTGTCTTTGTCTCTTCAGGGGGAAAACTGGCTATCGTGGATGTTTGAAAAATTGGTGATTGTCATGGTTTGTTATTTTATCTTATCTATAATCAACTCCATGGCCCAGAGCTACGCTAAACGACTGCAACAGAAGATGTACTCTGAAGAAAAAACCAAATGAGCTTGGAAAAAACCCCTTGGAATGGGTTTTAGCAGACAAAAAATGACACATCTTTCCATATGTTTAAAAATCAGCATTACTCAAAATGGGGGAAAACTTTTTAACATCCATTTTCAACTATAACAAGTTTTTATTTAATTTTGAAAGTAATTTGGATATTAGAGCAGACGTTTCATTGACAAACTTATAAATGTTAAGGTAAGGTAAAAATGCTTTACGTGTCTGAGTTGTATTATATGGGATGGACAATGTGATGTTAAATGGAGTTTAACACAAATGTTGTCCATCCAAATTACTTCCAAACCCGATGATTTAATACTCTCCACGTCCTGATTTAACTTCAGACTGACCTAAGGGTAACTTCTTATTTTGAAGGGTGGCTGGTTTGCTTTTTCCATAACTTTCAGGACCATTAAAATGTACATAAATGAATACGGATTGGATACAAACTGTTGCATGTCCCTCATGGTAAGGCTGTTCCATCTGGATTCCCCAGTGTCCCATTGCATTGCACGTGCTCTCGGTTGGGAAAGCCACCCTCTTAACTTTGGTGATGTTAGCAGAGAAGATCCATGTCAAAATGCCGAAGCTGACATTTTTTATTCTGTATATTTAGAATGAAGTTAAGATAAAACTTTATAAAGTCATCTTTGATCATTCCAGAATTTCTTGTGTCAGTCTTTTTAAGCTGTTTCTTTTCCTCTCCACTTTTGTATGCTCAGTTTCTTTTGTTACTTTATTAAGCCTTAATCCCATGAATTGCATGCTTTACTCATCCTTCCTGCACAAATGGTGCTGAAGCCCTTTGTTCTTTTTGGTTTTTGTTTTTTTTCTTAAGAACTTCTTACTTAGCAGAAGGAAGTAGGAAGCAGCTCGCTGGCCTGAAGTGTGGCTCAGTGGTTAAAATAGGCAAGTGAAATAGCTAGCGATATTTGTTACCGTAAATTCTCAGATGTTTGCCACTGATCACAGCACCGTGGGCAATGAAGGAGAAGAGAGGAGGGAAGAGTAAAGATTCCAGCTGAAAATAGATTTGATGTCAAACCTGGCAATGATGCAGAGAATCTTAGAGAACCTTAAACTTAGGCTTTAAAAGTCAGGTATTTTTAAACCATTGTGTGTTCCAGTTGTAATGTACGTGAACATAACCAATATTAAAATGGATCGTTTCCCTCTTTAGTAAGTAGATGTCCATTCCACTGCTGCTTCTATGTATTACTACTCTAATAACTTTTGAACTATTGCTTATTATTTTTATCCTAGGGGTAAGTAACGATAATTAATTTGACTTTCAATTAGTGTTATCAAAAGGTGGCACACGAGCACGAAGTAGGTTAGATCTTCCTCTTGCTTAGGCTAGATCTATCCCTGCATTAGGTTAGGGCAGGTCTCGAGCGAGGTGTGAGAATATGTATTTTGTTCAATCCCGCCTGAATGTCCTCTTGTGTTGCCAACCGTCGTGACATCTCCATGGCTGTACCATCCTGTCGGATAGCTTATCAGACTGATGTTGACTGTTGGATCTCATGGCAACAACAGTCGGTAGGCTGTCTGACATTTTGGTATCTCTCATCTGACCGTTCCCTCATCCATCTCCAACTGTTTCCATTGAACATCAATAGCATATAAATGTTTCTAAGTTTAGATGGAAATGAGTTCAGAAGTCTCGCAGCGCAGCAGCCTACGTCAGAAACATCTTTTAAAGTTTCACCTCAGTTGTGCGTGGGGTTTGTAATGTTTCTCTTGTGTCCTTCGTAGATAACTTAAAACAACGTTACTGAATGAACAGGGAGGCGTTTAGTAACTTCCGTCACTAGAGCTGCTGACTGCCGGAGTGCTGAGAGATGGTACGAGATAGTTAAAAGCACAAAGGCCACTTGTTTGCTCCGGTGGATTTTGAAAAGATGAACAGGATTTCTTAAATCTTGGCTTTTTCCCTCTGGGGCCTCAATATTGTCTTTGAAAACAACGTAGCAAAGAACTCGTTCTAATACAACACACATCCCAAAACCATAGCTCTATTGGATACTTCACTTTGTTCAGGTCTACTAAAACTTCAGTTTTGCACTTTAAGGGATTGCGTCAGCAGTTCATAGCTGTCTGTTTGATTTTTCTTTAGGATACTCGGATTAGTGAAGCAACTGTTTGCTACTGCCCCCAGTTTTAGTGGCAGCTTTTTTTTCCTCAAACCTGCTGTTCCCCTTAGGGACACCGGTATTTACTGCACACAGTTCTGGTAGTGTCTTAAGGCCTTTCCTGAGAGTAAATCAAATTTATGCCATGTAGAGGGCCCTGGATGCTGTCGGGTTGAAATGAGGAGGCCGTGTAACAGTAAGTGAAAAGAAAAAAAAAAAAACCTTCCTAGAGCTTGAGCCAACAAACGATACCATTCTAAATGCTTCAGCAGTTTCCTCATAATTATGCCTCCTTGTCTACTGAAGAACCACCAGACAAATTGGAAGCTTTCCCCCACTTTTACTTCAATATATGTTTCCATACATATAGCGAGAAATATATAGATATCTATTGTTCTGCAGCTCGTGTTTGTATGTGTCCATTCCAGTAAGCTATGCTGTTATTTTGAAGCTTTCTGACTTTATTTAAAGAAGGGACTGGTCATTCTATTTGCTTCTACCTGCTCGGCCGCTGGGAGATGATAAGACTTGGTGAAAGGTAACAATTAATAGAAATGGAAGTTATGCAAACCTAATGAGATTTGCAAATGGATAGTTTTATGTTTGCTTAAATAAACAAACAAATAACTGTTTCCCGGTGTTTATTTCAGCTGGATTGTTTCCATGTCTCTATACTGAGCTTGGCTGTTACGCTGTGAAAGTTGTTGTCCCAAGCATTCTGCAGCAGTGTGAATCTAGAAGATACATCTGCAATTGCATTTTGCAGCCTCAAAGACAGACCCAGAGCCTCTATCAATCATTTAATCTGAAAACACGTATTTTGCTCCCTTAATCCAAAGTTTCCTTTTGTTGTACATACTTTCAGTTACACATTGGAAGCAGTCAATCATCTAGTTTAAAGCATGTTAGAGAGAAATCCAAAGTGAGCTCTGTTGCAAGAAAAACAATTTTAGCACAGATCCCTGTTTTTAGCTGATTCTTCTGCAGCTTAGCCACTGAATGAAGCATCTTGCCTTTTTCGTTGGAATTGCTGAAAATCACACAGAAGTAAGAGCCCTCATAATAACTCATGTTTGGTTAAACATCAAAGATGGCTTTGAGGCGGTAGAGATTGGTTTAGCCTCGTCATCTGTGGAACGTGGCAAAACCTCTGCTTTCACAAGTGCGTTGTGAATAGGAAGCAAAGTTGGCCGAATTTGCCAGCCTAACAATCCAGAGAAGCACACCAGAGCTGAGCGTGGGTAGGACTGCAGCCCATCCTCCTCCTCATTCGCCACTTGCTCACTGCCTGACCGGCGAGCTGTGCCTCGCCAGCAGCGCCCGGGGAAGGCCGGGTGAGGTGCGAGCAGGCCGGCGCGCCCCTCTCGCTGCAGCCACGATGCAGCCGCTCAGGGCAAGAATTGTGTTGATGTAAGCAAAGCTGAAAAGGTCACACTGCTCTGTGCCGAGCCAAGGGACCGGCACGGGCCACCTCGGATCGAATCGTCCAGTTCCACACTTCCCTCAGCTCCATCAAAACAGGAAACCTCCTGCTCCCTGTCTCTGCTTGTAGCTTCTTACCTCCACCCTGATGTCACGCTGTCTGTCTCGTTAAAGTAGCTCCCTCCGAAAATCACCCAGCTGCCTGTTCGTGCTAAAAGACGCTTGTCATTAATACTTGAAGATGGCTTGCTGCTGTTCCAGAAAGTCCTTCCCTGCTGTGCTTTTGGGTTTCATTATTTAATTTGTTAGAATCAGCCTCCCTCTCACTGCAGGCAGTGCTAATTGCAAGCACAAATACTGTGGATGTTTCCCTGATTATCAAGGACAAATATAAATATTAGTGAACAAAATTGATTGCAGGTGTAAAAATAAGTGGTGATTGGGTGTGTTCCTTGGAGGTAAAAGTAATTCAGTGTTCTTTGAAGCACATAGTTAAAAAATACTTTGTAATCAGCGGGTAAAAGGTGGAATGTAATTATATATAAGGTAATTGAAATTGCTCTTCTGAGATTTAAAATTCTAGGGCTTTTTCCTGTAAATTTGTTTGGGTTTTTGGGTTTTTTTGAGGAAAAGAAGAAAAACGAATAAGTACTTTGCCCAGCCTTCTCCAGATTGCAGCACTAAGTGGAGTGTGAATGTGGGAGAGCAGTAGCCACGGAGGGCTTCCTGCTGGGCTGAGAGCGGGCTGGTCCAGGTGAGGGTTTAATTGCTGAGACCTCGGGGGTTTGCTGGAACCTCTTCAGGAAGCAGGGAGTGAAGCAATCGCCTTCCCTGTGAAACAGCCTGCTAATGCATTCAGAACTAGATGGAGGGTAAATATTTGCATATGCTCTTACAAACTCATTTTTAAAAGGATTGTGCGGAGAAATTCTTTGAGCCTGCTGTGACTTTCCTAATTCAAGTGTTTAATTGAGGGTGTGAAATGCTAGCATTTATTTCCTTACCTGTTTTGCTTATTGATGCATCCACTCAGCTTTCATAGAAGGCAGCAAAATGCTGCTTTGGTAGTGGTGTGGAGAGGCTGTAACAGCCTGGGTCAGTTGTCAAAGAGGGAGAGGGGCTCAAATGCAGAAACTGGTATCAAATGTCCAAAAGATGTCTGGCTGTATCACCTTCCAGGGAAAAGCAAGTGGGAAGAGCCCAGCTTCTTGGCATGTGCCAGGAATTCAGCAAAATGGTATTTCGGTCAGAAAAGCTGACTATTACGCGGCACTGAATTTGAAGTGAAGAGGCTGTTGAGCTGTGAAGTCTTTCAGCCTGTTCAGTCGTGGTAGAAGAAATGTGCAAATGTGAACCTGTTAAACGGGCCAAACTTTGTTTTACTTTGCCTTTAACACTGCCCTTTATTGTGCTAGAGGGGTTTTATTATTATTATTAATCACTCATTAAATGATTCAAAGAGCATTGACCACATTAACGTTAAATCAAAGGTCATCTTTCTTTAAACCTCATTTGACGAGCCGTTCAGATATGGATAAGCAAGTGTGCTGCATCTTCCGTGTTTCAGGGGGGTTACTCCCAGATTAATTGTTCTACTGGTTTCCCAAGAAGCTTAAATGAGTTGCCCAGGCAGCTGGTAATAAGGAAACTAGCTGCTATTTCCTGATGAAAGGCAAGAGATAGGACTTGTCAGCTCGCTGTATTGTTCCCTGCTCCGATAACTGCCCTGCAAACCGCACCCTTCTCCCCATGGCCTCAGAAACTGCTTTTCCTATAAAAAGTGCAAGTTGGGTGTCTGTGGTGACTGCTGCGCTGTTCCTGCTTGAGGGGTCCTGCAAGGAAAGGGCTCTGTGTTTGGTACGCATGATTTAGGGCATAATTCACTGCTTTGGGGCTTTTTGCGGCTTTTTGTTTCTGTTTTTTTTATAATGCTAATGTGACAGAGCTGGCCACACAGGTCTGGTTCTGCCTCCTCAGGAGAGGTGGTCGGAACTTTATGTTTCCTTGTGGCCTGGGTAGTGTGTCACTTAGGTGCTTTTTGCTA